AGCAAACAACTCTAGAAAACGTTGTTCGGTAGCTTTAAATAGGAATGAGTGGTCAATTAAATTTTAAGGATCTTAAGGATTTTTGAGAGTATAAATTTTAACTTGTTTCAATAAGGTGAAACTCAAGCACAAATGGCTCCAGGCAGCTCCCATGCATAAGCAGTTGAAATCAATATAAAGATAAGCGTCACACCTTGCGCTCAGTATTACACGGGATAATCAGCTATCAAGTGAGACAAAGCGAAATACAGCCACAGGGGCGCTCACATCAGACAGCATGGCCGTAGAACTCGTTATTCTGACATGATGAAACCAGAATCTCATGCTGGGTCTATTTTTCACAACTTACTGGACTTACTAGCTGTGTTTCGACTGATTGTGAAAAAGCAACGTGGGGCTCATTTCATGCTCAAGGGAATTTACATATAAGACAAAGGATGTTCCTCCAGCGGATTCAAACTAGCATTTGGAGCTCAAAGTCGTTGAACTCTCTCTGCTATACAACAGCATGACAGTAAGCCGCTTAGGTGTTATAGGAAAGGCTTACTCTGCATATTGGTGGTACTACTGCGTGTGCTAGAATAACTGTTAATTTTTCATGTCATTACACCGAACGTACAAACATGGCACAGTGGGATGGCAGGATACTTTGCGTATTTACCTGCATTTCGCTTAGCCTATGAAGTCCGGTCGTTTAAGCTTCACCTAAACATTTCATAGATACTTAAGTTTCCGACGAGTGTAACGTTGTACTGATGCAATGTCAACAATCAAGAGAGCTTCAATCCACTTCAGCCATAAGGCTCACACTTTTTCATATTATCGACCTCCCTTAGGGTATCCTCAGCAGGCAATATAATAAAGACATCACACCGGATAAACAGCATTTATCTATTTATCTCCTATACTTAAAAAAATAACAATATACGTGCTAAAGTTCAAGTATTAGTGGTTCATGGAACATAAAAGTAACGTAAAGTAAACCACTGTTTTCCTTTTTCAAGCACCCTCCTCTCATTATGATTCATTTCAATTACCCCTCTACTACATCTACTGCTGTATAACATTTCTTAGAGCAGGTCGACAAATGAATTCTTTCAAATGCATCGGTTGGAATGTCAGGCGATAAGTAGATTTTTCGTATTATCCACCAATTTCCTTTAAAAATGAACAATGCCACTACAATACCCAGAGTAAAAAACGAATAATCCAGAAACAACTTGGAAAGAGTTAGGTCCAAAAACAAATAGTCGCATTTAGACGTTCAAAGTGTGCAATTTAAACCACTGCACTGCTAATATTAATATTCAATAACATCCGTGACATCAGATTCCTCAAAAAATTAACAACTTCGCCAAATCCGCAAATCAATACTGATAAGTACTTATGAAAATATGCATAATTTCACGCAAGCGCTATTCTTGGCGTCAGGGCATCAGCACATTTCAATTTGGTGCCTAGGGTGACAAGTTAAGCAATCCACTGATTATCAAACCTGCATCGCACCGATAGCTACCATTGTCCTTTCTTCGTTACTAATGCGCATATGCATGCATAATGTGAATAGCGCGCGAACAGAGAATCACACAAAGTACTGGTACTATACTCACCAGTCAGCTCAAGCGCTACATGGTATAGGGATGTCGAACCACTGGCATTCTCTGTATGACATGTTTGATTAACAGAGAAGTGGAATGGTTGAAAAAATGGATTGAACTTTGTTGCCTCTGACACCCAACAATAGGACATGAAAGCCGATAAAAGGACAAATTGTATAACCTGACATATTTAAATATGAACAAAACTAAGCAAAAACAAAACTGGGTATATTTCAAATACAGATACCTGATTTACGTTGAGGAAAAGTACGGTACGTAAGCAAAATTTGTCTTACGATTTCATCGTGTGTATCCGTTTCAGTATTTGAAATATAACATTGATCGGTGATATCAGCAAGATGCCATTCCTCGTACCAATTCCAGAATATTAGGGTGGTATTTCATTTTAGTTAAACATAGGTATAATTATCTACATAAGGTGACTTATAGTATACGATACTAACTTATAAGCCCAATGCTTGGACGCAAAGCGATATGGTCCAAAACTTTTTCAACTACCACTGACCGTATGTCGTGTTGAGCCTTAAGCAAGAAACTTGAATTAAGCATGAATTTTAGATAACTAGCTTGCTACTTTAAAGCACTGGATTATAATCAGTTTCGCCACGTGACGGCAACGTTGTTGAAAAACGTTCGTCCAGTTGAAAGTGTCTTTGATGAATTTAGTCGATTTGTTACTGTTGTTCGTCGTTCCTTCGAGTATTGCAAAACCAATTTCACAAAGAGATTCGGTCACGTGTTCCCAACCAAAGGTTCTGAAACATCATAGAACAAATAATATGCAAAATAAATAAACATAAACAAAAAATTGCAAACATTTTACTTCCCTATGGAAATGCTCTGGTTTTTGACACAAATACATGCAAAAATCGACAGCTGATTTTTAAGCACCTTATCTGCTGAAAATGTGACGATGCTTTCACTTAAACTTAGCACAACACAATCAAAAGGTATTATGATGAAAAATAGCGATAAAACTTTCAGTCATTTATTTGACGTATCTTCTTTAGAGCCAAAGATTGCAAATTTGTTTTTCACCTATCTGCTATTTTGGTAGTAGTCTATTATCCAATCGACCTGTTTACTAACCTATGTTTTGTTTATTGATATACTTACGGATTCATTTGTATGTTAGTCCAATTTTCTATCAGTACATACTCAATGGCCATGCTGTTTGCAATTTTATAGCAAACAGTGATTGATATGGCACATGCGGATGGAACAGACATAAGCGGAAACTTCAGGCGAGGTGGAAATTTATTTATCAATCGGTCAATAAACGTATTCATCCCAATTTTTATATATTCTACCGCAAATAACCGACTTATACATCTGCAGATGAAATTATACGTTCATTTAATGGACAGCAAGTTCATTCATTCATCAGCCCATTTCATTACCTAGACGTCTGCATGTCTGTCTAATTATTTAGCTAACTATCCATGTATCGACCCATTACTATTTATTAGAGCATAAGTTAATGTGCCCATCATTTGATCATCCATAAATGAATCGCTGCATCCATTTACATCTGTACTTGACATTGATTTAAAATATAACAAATTCGTTCACCCGTCTATCTACCCAACAGTCTATTCACGTAACAATCTATGTACTCGATGCTTCACAATCTGTTAATTAATTCATAAGTTCATCTGTCTATTTATTTCTGTCCGTTAACCTACCTGTCTTCCTCTATCTATCAATAAAACCATCCGTCTGTCTACCTTTTCATCCGTAAAATCGATTCATCTATACATTTATCGGTGAATCCGTTAAACTGTCTACTCATCCATGATTCATAACTACACCCATAAATTTATTTTTATATCCATCGATTTATTTCTTTGTACCCATCTGTTTTTCTACAGACTCCATCGTCCATTCGTCTGTCGATATATTTATCTACCGCGCTAACAGTAATTAATCAACATGTTTTTCAATTCCGTAACATCATCCACATCAGCAGCTGAAAAGTAAACGAAATCTGATTAGCTCCCAGTAAGCATTTAGTCGAATTTTCTGTATCAGGTCTTTTTTTGACCTAACCTGTTATACGAAGTTGGTCGTCTAGTGCCTGTCCATAAATCGCTTATACATGTCGTCACTCGCACTAGCTTAACCTTTTATACGAAAGGCTCGCAATCATATACGCAAAGAACGTGTCATCTGTAAAATGAATATTAATAAACAGTGATCAGAAAGGTCAATATGCGAAAATATTCTAGAAATAAAATTAGCTAATTCTGCATTGAGCAGGTAACTGAAAATATAAATGCGACCTACCCTTGCTGAACGAATGTCTTCACCTTGTGTTCAACATCACAAGGGGCCGGCAACGTCTGCTGCAGCCACGGCGAAGAACTTCGCCGGACGGCAACCTTCAAACACTGCAGAAAGGAATTTTTGACTGCCAAAACAGCCTGAAATCAGCTTCATAAAAAAATAAATAATTGAAAATTTAATGAATATTACTTGATCATGAAATCGCATGGTTCGGGAAATGGCCAGCACCAATGCCAGTTTAAAGAAACCGATTTCATAATAACTGTCTTCCTAAAGACGGTACGATAAAAAAAATAAGATAAACTAACGGATTTTAACAGCGGAACAATGAATCAATAAAAAGTGACACAAGTTAATTAAACAGTAAATTGAATCCACTTTTAGAGGAAGACAAAACATTTGAGAAACATAAAACACAGGGAAATGTTTCATAGAACAAGAAAGAAATGCCATGCGTGCTTCTGTTGAACGGCTGCAATCTCTGGCTAATACCTGAATACTCGAAATGGAGTTTAACAGTGTATTGGCTCCAAGCCGTTGATGCAACTCTGCTTCAAAGCAAATCTGGTTGTTGGAGAGAACATAGCTCAGTTGGTCTCAGCGTAAAAGATCATAGACAAGAAATCAATAT